ACCTCAGGGCATGTCCAGAACACATAAGCCACAGACCTATTTGTGGCTATTTTCCTAAAGAGGTTTTCAGAAGGTTTACTATTTGTACATTTTCTTCAAGGGGAGAAAGGCATGTAGGAAGGAGGCAAGTAGGTGGCAAGGCAATGGTTATATCTTTGTGAGACTTTAGTTAGTGCCCAGTAAGTCAACACTTTGCATAAGATAAAGTGAATGTTTGAAAGAAAAAAGGGAGTAAAGGAAGAATTAATTATGCAGATGTCTCTGGGTAAGTGGAGGAATGATTGATCCAGTCTTGTCTTTGTTCCGCAAGTGGGAAGAAAAGCTTGCAATCGACATTATCAGAGTAGAATCAGACTTAGTTTCAGGAGCTAGACTTAGATTGCAAACCTAAAGTTAAAATTAGCATGTCCTTGTTTATGAGAGGCCAGCAAAAAATTTACTTATGAATCTGTGGGGGCAGCCATTTGGAGACCCCTGAGGCCTTTTACCTTTTCCCAGGGAGTCTGGGTGATGCAGAATGCTGGTAACAGTGATTCATTTGGAAGAGGGGGTTGCGTAACTCAACCTCTAGGCTTAACCTTCCCTTTGGTATAAGGAGTTTGAGGGTCCAGAGATGTGTTTTGTTGTTGTTGTTGTTGTTTGTTTTGAGACAGAGTCTCACTCTGTCCCCCAGGCTGGAGTGCAATGGTGCAATCTTGGCTCGGTGCAACCTCCATCTCCCAGGTTCAAGCGATTCTCCTGCCTCAGCCTCCCGAGTAGCTGGGATTACAGGCACGTGCCAACACACCCGGCTAATTTTTTTTTCTTTTTTTGGTAGAGATGGGGTTTCACCATGTTGGTCAGGTTGGTCTCAAATGCTAGACCTCATGATCCACCTGCCTCAGCCTCCCAAAGTGCTGGGATTACAGGCATGAGCCACCGCACCTGGCCCAGGTCCAGAGATTTTAAAAATTTCTTCAACTGTTTTTGTTACAGTAGGTAGCTAGTCAGACATGAGCAGGCCAGAGAGGGTCCACTCGTACCCCTACCAGAAATGTCAGGTAACCATCAGGTGATGGCCAGGTGGTTGCAAACTGTCTCTCTAAAATAATAATTAGTCTCTGGGCATGGTGGCTCATGCCTGTAATCCCAGCACTTTGGGAGGCCGAGGCAGGTGGATCACGAGGTTGAGAGATCGGAACCATCCTGGTCAATATGGTGAAACCCCGTCTCTACTAAAAATACAAAAAATTAGCTGGGCATGGTGGCACATGCCTATAATCCCAGCTACTCAGGAGGCTGAGGCAGGAGAATTGCCTGAACCCAGGAGGCGGAGGTTGCCGTGAGCCGAGAGTGCGCCATTGCACCAGCCTGGGTAATGAGAGCGAAACTCCATCTCAAAAAAAAATAATAATAATAATTAGTGACAGCCAGCTCCAGGGAAAGGCTGCCTCCCAATACATAGAAAAAACCTGAAGATGGTGAACAGCAGCTTCCTGGTAGTATCTCAGGAGTTGGGTGAGGGGCCTCACACATGTGCACTAAGAGGCAAATGGCAGAGTTTAACTGGTATATGACCTTATAGGAAGACTTGACTGGTAAGAGAAGAACATCTCAAGTGAGCATGTGTGCAACTCCCATAAACGCACTATGCATGCTCCCCTCCCAAGAGCTGGCAGACCACTGCACATGCAGACAGCCCACCCCAACGGAAGACTCAGGGAGAAGGGATGCAAGACCCCAGAAGTGTGCCAACATATAAAACCCTAGGTTAAAAGTCAAACCATGCACTTGGTCTCTCAAGTTGCCTGTTTGACCCTCTTCCAAGTGTACTTTACTTCCTTTCATTCCTGCCCTAAAACTTTGTAGTAAACTCTCACTCCTGCTCTAAAATTTGCCTCAGTTCTCACTCTGCCTTATGCCCCACTCCGTTGAATTCTTTCTTTTCAGGAGGTAAGAATTCAGGTTGCTGCAGACCCATATGGATTCACTGCCTATAACATTTTTACTTATATCTCTATCATGGACATCTATAGTTCTACCTCATCTATTTTAAAGGCTGTATGTTATAGTATTGATAAAACTTTATTTGTATTTCCCCACTGCTCAGCATTTTGGTTACTTCCAATTTTTGTCATCCTAAATGATTCTATAACAAACATCCTTGCAACAGGCTCTTTTTTTCCCCATGTTGTAGTATTTTTTTTTTACCCCCAGGGCAAGCTTTTGAGAAAATGTCCCAGCAGGATATTTAAAAGTTTATAATCAGATATGGGATAAAGAATCCATAAACCTTGGGTACTGATTGGATCTGGGACGTAGAGGAGAGGTCAAGTCTTGGATATACCCAGATATAAGGAACCAGATGGGGCCAGGCACAGTGGCTCACACCTGTAATCCCAGCACTTTGGGAGGCCGAGGCAGGTGGATCACTTGAAGCCAGAAGTTTGAGACCAACCTGGCCAACATGGTGAAACCCCATCTCCATTAAAAATACAAAAATTAGCCGGACATGGTGGTGTGTGCCTGTAATCCCACCTACTCGGGAAACCGAGGCCTCATTTACACCCAGGAGGCAGAGGTTGTAGTGAGCCAAGATCATGCCACTGCACTCCAGTCTGGGCAACAGAGTGAGACTCTGTCTCAGAAAAAGAGATAAATAAATAAGGGACCAGATGAGAGGTAGCCTGGTTTTCTACTTGAGACCAGAGGACTAGGGTCCTAGAGCCCTGGCTGCACCCCTATGAGCTTCATGGCCCGGGACAACTTAACCCCTCTGAGTCTCACTTTCTTCTAAATGGGGCTAATAATAAAACCTCCTAGGGTTATCATGAAAATCAAACAAAATGAGGTGATGTACAAATGTCCTTGGTATAAAAATTAACAAATCTTGCTATATCAGCAGATGATGGGATAGACATCAAAGCCTTTTAGAAATACCAAAATAACTACATGAATGTAAGTGACTAATACTATCATTGTGCTGCCTCATCCTTGAACCATTTTCCCAAACACTTACAGACACAGCTTTCAACATTGCAGAAGGCACAAGCTGTGGCCAAGAAGAGCTTTCTCTTGTGAACTTACCTGAAGCCGCTATCTGAACAACATTTGGAGAATCAGATTCTCTTGTTTATGCTTCTTCCAGAAATAGGCAGCCTGACATGATAGAGGTAGATGAGAGCTTTAAGTTCCCTTCCCCACAGGCCAGGAACGGTGGCTCACACCTGTCATCCCAGCACTTTGGGAGGCCAGGCAGGTGGATCACCTGAGGTCAGGAATTTGAGACCAGCCTGACCAACATGGTGAAACCTGTATCTTAAAAATACAAAAATTACTTGGGTGTGGTGGCATGCGCCTGTAATCCCAGCTTCTTGGGAGGCCGAGGCAGGAGAATTGCTTGAACCTGGGAGGTGGAGTTTGCAGTAAGCTGAGATTGTGCCATTGCACTCTAGCCTGGGCAACAGAAAGAGACTCCATCTCAAAAAGAAAAAAACGAAAAGGAAAACTTTTCTTCTCCACATCCTCACTGCCAGGTGACCTTTAAAACAGGGACAAGTCTTAGGATAATTATGTTACCACAGAAACATTTCTCAGCAAGCAGAGACTAATATGATCACACTACAGTTCTTATTTCTCATACACTTCTTGCTGAGTAAGGAAACCTCCAGTGCAGGTTCTGATTACAAATATTTGAAACCCCTTATTCCAGTCACTGTGGAATCCAGATAGATGCATTGTACTACTCCAGAGATGCCATTCATATTACGCAGACATCCAACACCTCCCAAAGTTTTCTTGTGTTCATTTGCTTTGTTTCGTTTCTGCAGCTTAAAAAAAAAAACCCCACCTACCATGATATCTACCCTCTTAGTAAATTTTTATGTGCACCATATCATTTTGTGAACTCTTATGCTGGATAGCAGATCTCTAGAACTTATTCATAGCAGAATTGAGACATCTTTCCCTTTATAATAACTCCCCATTTTGATATGGACGGGAGGCAAAAGGGCAGGGTCCCTGGCAAGGGCTCCACCCTTAAGTCTGGACACGCAGCCCTAAATGAGAACAGGCATTCCCATTTTTGAGCCTGAATGTTGCTTTTTGGTCTGCCCCACCTCCACATCCTGCGCTTTTATAAACCGTGGACCTTAGCTGGGATTGGGAAGAGCAGCTGAACTTCTAGAGAAGTAACTGAGAGTTGGAGACTATGAATAGACACAGCTTAACTTCAGATGGCAAGACTTTGGAGAGGAGCCTGGCTGGAGATGGACAGGCCTCAGGGAAAGATCACCTTCCCGCACCAGCCCCTTTCCAGCTCTTCTTCCACTGAGAGCCACTTCCACTGCTTCATAAAACCTCTGCACTCACCATCCTTTAAGTCTGTATGGCCTGATTCTTCCTGGATGCCGGACAAGAACTCAGGTACCAAGAGGGCAGGGTGTACGACACCCTGACTCTCCACCGCGCTGGTTAACACTTAGCCGTCCCCGGCAACCACTAAAAGAGCACTGTTTGTAACACATGCCCTCTGGGGCTCCAGAGTTTGCAGGCAACTGTTAGACGCCGCCACAGGCTGGTACAAGGTTCATTCCTGCAAGTGCCTAAAGGCACTCGCCCCAGCTCCTGCACCTGCTCACCTGTGTACTCCCCGTCCTCTAAGGGTTTGAGCTCAGCAAAACAAGCCATCCCTACCCGCCAAACCACAACCTACCCTGCTGTCGCAAGTCTCTGGAGGGGATCAGGGAACTTTCTTATCTCAATTTCCTCCACCATCAAACGTGCACTTTTGGCTAGCATACTTCAGATGTTATCTCACTGCCCAGAACCAAACTAATAGCTCACCTACACAAGCACACCTATTACACAGCCTCTGCATGAGTATTTTAAAGTAACGATCTGTAACATAACTTGAATGATATAACCAGGAATGTGACTATTTTTAATTTTATAAAATCCTAAGAATTGCAGCTGATGTCCTATCCTTCTTCTAATATACAAAAAATGTTTTTTACACGCAGAAAAAACATTGTTGACCCGGAGGATCCCCGATGTGTCCGGTTAACACTCACCGGCCAGATGATTGCAGTGTCTCCAGAAGAAGTAGAATTTGCCAAGCAAGCCATGTTTTCAAGGTGTGTAGATGCTTTAAAATTGATTTTCCCAGAAATACACAATAACAAGCCAAGGTCAGGCTATGCCATTTGATGCCTCTGATGTAGTGACAATGATTGGTCTGCACTGCCCTTCAGTGGTAACAGGGCCTGGCTGTAGAGATCACTAGCAGTGGCCGCAGAAGCCAGGCGAATGCCTCTTGAGAGCACACCACGGAGCTATTCCAGGCACAATCCCTACCTACTTCCAACCTTTGACATTTCCCTGCCTTGCTGTGAAAATAGCTGAGTCTTCACCAACCCAACGAACATTTTCAAGCAACCACTCTAAACAAAGCATATTGCCTGCCAAGGATGGCAGCATTTCTCAGTGTGGTGCTCTCACCCTTACATCAGTAGGATGCTGACTTAAACACGGCTTTACTCGCCCCACCCTGACCTACTTACTGAATCAAACTCTCCAGAAATAAGACTCAGGAAACTATATTGTAAAATGCATGCTCCAGGAAATCGATATGCTGCTGCAGTTTGAGAACCACTGCTGTAGGGGTCTACACAGTGAGAGGGTGGCCGAGAGAAGAGGTCAGAGCTTGTGCAGGCTGAGGACGGTGCATGCACGCGGGCGTGGCCTTTCCGCCGGTGTCCATGCAGAAGCAGCCAGAAGTGGAGGCTCAGAGCTGGGGTGCAGGCTGGTGCAGCAATGGAAACAGGCTAGAAGGCAAGTGGTGAGTTGGAGGAGCGATTCACAACCTCATGGGAAGAGGAAGATTCTGCACGCAGGGACACGGTGAATAAGCAAGGCTCATAAGGACACGGAAAAGGGCTAACGGCACAATCAGAGGAAACTAGAATGATTGGGATTGTATATGTTCACATGAACTCATGGCTTTCAATACTTAAAGAAATAGATGTCGGTGTGTGTGTGTGTGCACACAAATGTTTTTATTTAGTTATTTATTTTATTGCTAGCTTTTAAACTCAACTCTAACTCTTTAGTTCTTCTCCTCTCATATTATTATAAGCAATGAGAAGGGGCCAAAATCTTCCCTAGATCCTAGATCAGTGGGTTCATTAGGTTCATTTTCTATTTTCTTTTTTTTTTTTTATTGTACATTCTGGGATACATGTGCAGAACATGGAGGTTTGTTACATAGGGATACATGTGCCATGGTGGTTTGTAGCACCCATCAACATGTCATCTAGGTTTTAAGTTCCACATGCATTAGATATTTCTCCTAATGCTCTACCTCCCTTTGCCCCAACCCCAACAGGCCCCAGGTGTGTGATGTTTCCCTCCCTGTGTCCATGTGTTCTTGTTGTTCAGCTCCCACTTATGACTGAGAATCTGCGATGTTTTTTGTTCCTATGTTAGTTTACTGAGGATGATGGCTTTCAGTTTCATCCATGTCCCTGCAAAGGACATGAACTCATTCTTTTTTGTGGCTGCATAGTATTCCATGGTTTACGTGTGCCACATTTTCTTTATCCAGTCTATCATTGACGAGCATTTGGGTTGGTTCCAAGCCTTTGCTATTGTAAATAGTGCTGCAATAAACATATAAGTGCATGTGTCTTTACAGTAGAATGATTTATAATCATTTGGGTGTATACCCAGTAAAGAGATTGCTGGGTCAAATGGTATTTCTGGTTCTAGATCCTTTAGGAATCGCCACACTGTCTTCCACAATGGTTGAACGAATTTACACCTTACCAACAGTGTAAAAGCATTCCTATTTCTCCTCAGCCTCACCAGCATCTGTCGTTTCCTGACTTTTTAATGATCTCCATTCTAACTGGCGTGAGATGGTATCTCATTGTGATTTTGATTTGCATTTCTCTAATGATGAGTGATGATGAGCTTTGTTTTATATATTTGTTGGCCGCATAAATATCTTCCTTTGCTTCATGACTAAAACACCAAAAGCAATTGCAACAAAAGCCAAACTTGATAAATGGGATCTAATTAAACTAAAGAGCTTCTGCACAGCAAAAGAAACTATCATCAGATTGAACAGGTAACCTACAAAATTGGGAGAAAATTTTTTCAGTCTACCCATCTGACAAAGGGTAGTTTGTCATATCCAGAATCTACAAGGAACTTAAATTTACAAGAAAAAAACAAACAACCCTATCAAAAAGTGGAAGAATATGAACGTTTCCTATTTTCTGCCTAACGACAAACAACAACATTGCTAAGTTTGCCTGCCACTACATAATACAGGTACCTTTACCTCCAACTTTCAGTAGCCTTCTTATGCTTTTATTTTTAATTTTAGAGACAAGGTATTTTTGTTTTGTGCAGGCTGGAATGCAGTGGTGTGATCATAGCTCACTGCAGCCTTCAACTCCTGGGCTCAAGGGATCTTCCTGCCTCAGCCTCCTGAGTATCTGGGACTACCTACAGGCACAATCTTTTTGAGCCAGAGTCTCTGTCTGTCACCCAGGCTGGAGTGCAGTGGCACAATCTTGGCTCACTGGAACCTCTGCCTCCCAAGTTCAAGTGATTGTTGTGCCTCAGCCTTCAAAGTAGCTGGGATTACAGGTGTGCACCACCACGCCTAACTAATTCTTATATTTTTAGTAGAGAGTCTGCCATGTTATTCAGGCTGGTCTTGAACTCCTGGCCTCATGTGATCCTCCTGCCTTGGTCTCCCAAAGTGCGGGGATGACAGGTGTGAACCACCATGTCCAGCAGGGCACTACCATTTTTTTTTTTTTTGAGACAGAGTTTCGCTCTTGTTACCCAGGCTGGAGTGCAATGGCGGGATCTCAGCTCACCGCAACCTCTGCCTCCTGGGTTCAAGCAATTCTCCTGGCTCAGCCTCCTGAGTAGCTGGGATTATAGGCACACGCCACCATGCCCAGCTAATTTTTTGTATTTTTAGTAGAGACGGGGTTTCACCATGTTGACCCAGGATGGTCTTGATCTCTTGACCTCGTGATCCACCCGCCTTGGTCTCTCAAAGTGCTGGGATTTAGGCTTGAGCCACCGCACCCGGCAGACACTACCATTTTATAAGCCCTCACTGTCAGTCTCCTCAGGGTCCTTCCAGCTTCCACCCACTGCCTGGGCCCAAAGCCAGTGCCCCGTGGATTAGGGTTTGTTGCACCAGCACCACTTCCAGGTATCAAGCTTTGTTCCAGTTATCAGTACAAAAGTAGGTTGCTTAAAACAACAGCAATCATGTTACTATCTTGGCTGCATAATATTTGAGGTGTTATAGCGACAGTTTAGCAACTTTTGTTCAAGTGGATTAAGAAAATAGTTTTGCATACTGTACTTTCAATTTCCCTGTATGTTTATTATTGTTCCAAAATAAATTATTCTTTAAAAAGACGATTGACTGAGCGTGTGGCACACACCTGTCATTCCAGCACATTGGAAGGCTGAGGCAGGAGGATTGCTTGAGGCCAGGAGTTCAAGACCAGCTTGGGCAACATAGTGAAACTACATCTCTACAAAAAATTGTTTTTTAATTAGCTGGGCATGGTGGCACGCTACTCATGAGGCTAAGGCAGAAAGATCGCTTGAGCCCAGGGGGTCGAGACTGCAGTGAGCTATGATCCTGCCACTGCACTCCAACCAGGGCAACAGAGCAAGGTCCCATTTCTAAAAAATAAATACATAAATAAAGATTGTCAACCTATTTTTGCATTTCCTTTGTAATAAATGTTTTTCCCAGTTTGGACCTGGTCTTTGAATTATGTTTATACCATTTTTAGATATAAAGGAAGTGTTTATGAAGTTAAAAAAAAAAAGAAGTGAGCCACAGCTCCTGCCCTCAGAGACACTGCAGCAAGTTTAAGAATATGCATCGGGGAGAGGCAAGTCAGTAAACAGCATGAGCTGGGATGTGACGTCGCCTGTCAAATCTAGCTGGCTCTCACTTGCCTCAGTAGCTCTCAGCCTGCTCCATGACTAGAAATCTCTCCATGGGCAGACTGATTTCACAGGCTCACTCCGTTTTGTGAACACTTCCTATAGAGATGCATAAAACCTTTCTTTACATTTCCTAATATGGTAACCAACCTCCACTGAGCACTTACTCTCTGCGGGTGTTTTATGTGTGGTTCATTGTCTCCTTGTCCATACAGCCCTATGAAAAGCCCCATCAGCATCACCCCATGTGACAGGTAAGGACACAGAGGCTTGTGAGTGCCAATAGCCCACAGGCATCACAGCTCATAAGCAGTTGAACTGAGATTCACACCAAGGAGCCTGGCTCAAGACTTGAGCCTTTAGCCACACGGTGTAGGTCTACAGTCCCTGCCTTCCTACCAAGGTCCCAGGCACTGACACGTAGCTCCCTGGCTCTGGCTCTGGCTGATCTGAGCAGCTGTCAGTGCAAATGAGGCCTGGACTCTGGAACTTCTATGACTTGGTTCAAGGTAAACCTCTCTGATAATAACAGCTTTACTGTGGTCTCTCTTTATTTCTGCAGGCACCCAGGGATGAGGAAGTGGCCTCGTCAGTATGAATGGTTCTTTATGAAGATGAGGGTAGAACATATCTGGCTTCAGAAATGGTATGGAGGCGTATCTGATATTTCAAGGGAGGAATATTTCAAAGCAGTTCCCAGGAAGGCCTGATGGAGTAAGAAGAAAGTCCTTAGTGTTCACACTTAAATGAAAACCTTTCCAGTGACGAAGCCAGACAGCTATTGACCACTGTCTCTTTGTTGAAGGGTTCGTAGCAGCTCTGCCATCCCTACAGCAGAATGAGAGATGGGGAACAGGGAACTCTATGCTAAATGTGAGATTAAACTGGTCATTTGCAGATCTCCAACTCACGCGGATACTTCGCATAGTCTTTATTCCGTTGTATTCAATCCAGACTCAGCTATTCAGAAATCATGTAATAGTGGTGGTCAAAATGACATGTTGAGATCATTGCTCTTTCCTTCTTTAAGAAAAAAAATTGCTGTACGTACAATGTGATTGCTGTGTATTTTGAGAGTACTTTTGTTGCTTGCTGTGCCAAATGCAGTCTTGGTTCTAACCTTACTGCAAACACCAAGGAGCTGACTGTGCATCACACAGCCGCAACATTGTATTAGGGTGAAGGTGGAGGACTGTGTGTCTGTGGATTACTACTCCTGCTGGTGGATTGCAAATGCATTATTAAGTCATACTGGCTAGAATGTACTGGTCACTTATGCAGCTTTTTCCCACCATAATATGAAAACAGTTAAGAGCATAGGATGCGGCCGGGTGCGGTGGCTCACGCCTGTAATCCCAGCACTTTGGGAGGCCGAGGCGGGTGGATCACGAGGTCAAGAGATCGAGACCATCCTGGTCAACAAGGTGAAACCCCGTCTCTACTAAAAATACAAAAATTAGCTGGGCATGGTGGTGTGCACCTGTAGTCCCAGCTCCTTGGGAGGCTGAGACAGGATAATTGCTTGAACCCAGGAGGCGGAGGTTGCGGTGAGCCGAGATCGTGCCATTGCACTCCAGTCTGGGTAACAACAGCGAAACTCTGTCTCAAAAAAAAGAAAAAAGGAACATAGGATGCTTTGTGCACAGCCCTTCTCTATGTAACCAGCCATGGCAGTGCATTAAAGAGGAACAAGTAGCTTCAACATTAAGCTTCCCAAAAGGTTGAGCTGCTCACACTTCTGGCAAGAGTCCACCTCTCTCCTGCGTGAACGGGGCATCCAGGATAAGAAGTGCCCCATTCTGTGGTGGAGAAAGAGGAAAGGGGAGAGGGTGAAGCTGGGAAAGAAAAGGCAGCACATTAGAGAAGGAAGAAAGGAAGCTGGTAACTGAGGGCCTGCTGCCTGCTCAGCCCTGGGCCAGGCCCTCAATGGAAGCCATCTCATTTAAGCCCTGCAACCAATGAGATGCATATCATCCTTGCCTCTTACAGACAAGAAAACCAGACTCAGACGGGTTGAGTCCACATCCCAGACCGTGCACTGCAAACACAGGTGGAGTGGTTCCTAGAAGACATCCAGTTTTAAGAAGGAAAGAGTTATTGAAATGCATGGGTAGAAACTGAACCAGGAAAATCAGCAAAGTGATTGTAAAAGAGAAGGACTAGCCTGCCTAGAGACGATGTTTCTTGCTTTTGGAAAGAAAAATCTCTGAAATTTGATTCTTACTACAGATTTAAAACTTTCTACATATTACATGTAGGTGCTTCTAGTGTTTTCAAGAAATTAGACTGTACCTGTGTACACTTCTAAGGCCCACATGGACCTATGTACATATATCTAAGACCTCTGGTCATTAAAAGCTATAAAGGATTGAGCTGTCTCAAGTATCCTGTCTTTCTGTGATGGCTATAAACTTTATTTGGTAGGTTAGGAAGGTTGTGTAACATAAAAACACATCACTATATATATATATATTCATTTATGAAATATACATTTTTCATGTAAATAAAAGTGTTAACGTTTATATACTTTTGCTTAACAAAATAATACACAATGAGAGTTTGAGTTGTCAACATATATTTTAAGTGTCTATTGCTAAAAACATAGTAATATGCGGAGATTTCTTTGTCGTAAGCCAATCCTCAAAAGAGTTCCTAACAATGGTGATGTCTAATATATAAGAATAAGGTACCTCCGAGGGAACTTCATATTTTCAGAGTTTAAAATTATTGCTACTCCCAACTTAGATAAAAGGGAGAAAGCCGGAAGAACAAATGACATGCTCAAATGTATTGCATAAGTCAACCTCAAACCTTAATACTTGGAGCTTCGCTACCTCCTGATCCTGTCTTACAGATAAGGTCCCCATGCTAGGTTTGTTTTATACTCAGGTTCCATTTAGCTCATTAAAGGTCACTGCTGCTTCAAAGGGCTTTGCAGACTGGATGCCATTTATAACCACTGACAAATGTTATCAGCTATTTATCCAAATTACAGGAAATGAAACCTGAAAAGGTTGGATAAGAACTGTGTTGAAAATTCATAGTTTTGAGTTTGATGGATTCCATTCAGGCAAGCGTGTTTCAGCAAACCTCTAGAAATTTACATTGATTAAAATGTTAGTGGCTGTACTGGAAGTTCCGGACATGGCAATAAGGTAAGAAAAAGAGATTAAATACATACAGATCAGAAAGAAAAAAAAAAATGTATCCCTATTTAGAGATGACAGGATTGCCTATATAGAAAATTCCAAATAAACTATTTTTTAAAAAAGAAACTCTAGAACTAGTAAGTGAATGCAGCAAGGTCTCAGGACACAAGACCAGCACACAAAACTCAATTGCATTTTTCTATGCTAACGATGAGCATGTCCCGGGGTGTGGGAGGGGAACTGAAAACACAGTACCATTTGCAGTCACTCCAAAGTGAAATATTTATGTATAAGCAAAACTTACCCAGGACCTGTGTAGTGAAAATTTTTTAATGCTAAGAAAAGAAATAAATATCTAAACAAAGAAAGAGAGATACTATGTTCTTGGATTGGAGGATACAAAACAATAAAGAGATCGGTTCTCCCCATCTTTATCTCTAGGTTTAATGCCATTCCTATCAAAATCCCAGCGAGGATTTTGTAGACCTATACAAGCTTATTTTGAAAGTTATTTGAAAAGGCACAGGCATTCAAATAGCTAAAACAATCTTGTAAAAGCAGAATAAGGTTGGAGAAATCATTCTATTTAATACAAAGAGTTATTATGTAGCTACAGTACTCAAGATAGTGGTATTTGGTGGCCTAGAAGCACACATTGATGGAACAGAATAGGGAATCTAGAAGGCCCACACAAACAGGCTCAACTGATTTTTTTTTTTTTTTTTTTTACAAAAGTACAAAACTAATTCAACAGAGGATAGTCTTTTCAATAAACTGGAGCAGGTGGACATCCATAGGCAAAATGAACCTTGGACTAAACTTCATACCTCATACAAAAATTAACTCAAAAGAGATCACATCTGTACACATAAAATGTAAAACTATAAAACCATAGAATATAGAAAATCTCTGGGAACAAGGGCTAAGCAAAGAGTTTTTAGACAATACCAAAAGCACAATTCATAAAAGAAAATTTGATAAATTAAACTTCATCAGAATTTAAAACATTTGCTCTGCAAAAGACCATGTTAAAAGGCCGAGAAGACAGGCTATCAAATGAGAGAAAATATTTCCAAATCACACAATCCAATGTGGGAAGCAGTAGCCATCTTGTAACTATGTTGCTTAAGCTTTTGTTCCTCTTACCTAAACCTCCATCTTGTGGGCTTCCCTTATTGTTTAAGTTTCACATTCCTCCTAGTTAGGAGGCTAGCCTGCAGCCTCGTCTCCATGGTTACTCTCTGACCTCAGCCCTCAGAACTTCCCGCCCTTACTTGTTTATAAGCCACCGCCTTGTAGCTAATAAACGAGACTTGATCAGATCCTTGACTTGTCTCCATTCTCCGCGTCTCCTGTCTCTCTCTTTTAATCCCCACTCCCTCCCTAGGGTCTCCGTTGCTCGCCCCGCGGGTCAGGACAATCCAACAAAAGATTAGTACCTAGAATATGTAAAGAACTGGCAAAACTGAACAGTTAAAAAAATTTTAATTAGAAAATGGAGCACATGAACAGACGTTTCACTGCAGAGAATATACTAATGGCAAATAAGCATATGAAAAGATATTCAACAGCACTAGTCACTAGGGAACTGCAAACTAATACTACCATGAGCTGTCACTACACACCTACCAAAATGGCTAAAATAAAAAAAATGATGATAACACCAAATGGTGACAAGGATGCAGATAAACTGGGTCAGGCATATACTGGTGGTGAGAATGTAAAATGGAACAGCCATTCTGGAAAACCATTTGGCAGTTTCTTACAAAACTAAACACACAACTGCCATACTGACCTTCAATTGCTCCCAGAATTTATCCCAGAGAAATGAAAAGCGGTTCACACAAAAACTTGTGCAAGAACATTCATATCAGCTTTACTGATAACATTCAAAAACTGGGAGCAATCAGATAGCCTTTAACAGGTGGCTGGTGAAGCAGTGGGTGGTGCCTCCATGCCTGGAATACTACTCAGCAATGAAAAAGAACTAATTACTGACACAGACAACTACTGGGACGAATTCCAGAGAATTATTCTGAGAGAGCGAAGCCAATCATAGAAGTTTACACACTGTATGGTTCCATTTACATAATATTTTGAAATGTAAAATTATAGGAATGGAGAATAGATAAGGGGTTGCCGCGGAGGAGTGGGGAGAACAAGAGAGTTGGGTGTAACTGTAAAAAGATAACACAAGAGATCCTGGTGGTGATGGACATGTTCAGTATCTTGACCAAATCAATGTGAAAATCCTGCTTGGAATATTGTAGTATAGTTTAGCAAGATGTGCCATTGGGGAAAACTAGGTGAAAAGAGCATAGGATCTCTGTATTATTTCTTAACGACTGCTTGTGAATCTACGATTATCTACAACTATCTCAGAATCTACAATTATCTCTGAGTAAAAAGCTTAGCATAAACAAGATTTAAGGATTAGCTTAATGAAGCATTTATACTCTCTTATTAGTCCCTAATAAAATGAGGAACTGAGCTATAGTCTAAAATCTAGTATAAAGACATAGTATTTCATTTGTTAACTGTTAATATATGCATTTGCTGAAGAGATGTAAAATTCTTTAAAATTTTTCTAAATATGTTCTATTTAATGTTAAAGACAAATCAATAAGAATTCAGCAAATCTGCTGTATAGATTTTAAGTGGGTCACTTAGGAGGAGAGGACATCTTCAAATTTCTTATATAAATATGTTGAGTAAGCTATAGATATATAGGCATCCAAGTTGATGTATAATAATTCTCCACTGATTTTATAGAGAAGAACTATATTTCCAGTAATCTTCCTCTAAATATTGTGGAAAAGAATTCTGTTTTAATGAATAAGCTAATTAAAGCCTATCCAGACCACCATGTTTTAATTTACAGTGACTGTACATATCCATGATTTTGACATAGAGTATAATTCTGATGTTACTTGTTTCAATATGCCTTGTATATATTGGCTGTTTATGATAGTCGCTTTTTGGTTGAAAAAGTATTTATGCTGGGTGAGGTGGTTCGTGCCTGTAATCCCAACATTTTGGGAGACCAAGGCAGGAGGATGACTTGAGGTCAGGAGTTCAAGACCAGCCTGGGCAGCATAATGAGACCCCATATCTACAAAGAATGTTGTTTTTCTTTTTTTAAAAAAAGTCCCAGCACACCTGTAGTCCTAGCTACTCAAGATGCTATGGTGGGAGGATTGCTTTGAGGCCAGGAGTTTGAGGCTGCAGTGAGCTATGATCATGCCACCACATTTGAGTGATAGAGTGAGACCTTGTCCCTTAAAAAAAAAAAGATTTCTGAGAGAGGACTCAAGATGGCGCTGTGAGAACAACCCAGGATTGGAGTTCTCGTTGTGTCTGCGGAGAGGTGAGTCTGAGCTGCATTTCCAGACTGATCTTTGTTGCTCACGGAACGGGGAAATTCCCAAGTGAAGAGGAGACGCGGGACGCCAGGCAGATATTACGCCTGGCGAAGCCGGCAGCCGGGGTGGCGGCGGCCGGCCCTACCCAGCGCTCCCCACAGGGCGCACTTGTCCGGTTGCCCCGTTGAACCGGCAACTGGAGACGTGAGAGGGCTGGACTTGAGACTGAGCTAGACTTGAACAGTGGGCCAGCCCAGGGGATTGTAGGAACAGAGCGTTAGGATTGGCCCAGTGGGACTACCAAAACCGCGATTTCAAACAAGCTCCGTGCAGACGGCCCGAGACGCTCTGAGGGGGAGGGGCGGCCACCATTACCGAGGTAACCCGCCCCAACTGAGATACACGCCCATTGCTGACGCAGCCAGCCGTTGCCGAGGCAACCCGTCCCTACTGAGATACACGCCCACTGCTGACGCAGCCAGCCGTTGCCGAGGCAACCCGTCCCTACTGAGATACACGCCCACTGCTGACGCAGCCAGCCGTTGCCGAGGCAACCCGTCCCTACTGAGATACACGCCCACTGCTGACGCAGCCTGCCGTCGCCGAGGCAACCCGCTACAACAGAGAGACTCCGCCGCAGGGCGTGGCAGAGAACAGCAGAACAGCGGAGCCGGGGCGAGCCTCACAACAGCAGGGCGGAGCCTCGGCAGGCAAACAGTGGCTAGTCTGCATCCTAGCTGGGCAGGACCTCAACGGACATCCAAAAATAAAGCCCAAACCCCTCAACACAGCATTTGAGAAAAAAAAAGGGTTTTTTTAATGAGCTCTGTTGCAGCAGAATCAAACATAGCAGCCTAACAGCCCTGAATGAACAACACAGCTCACAGCTCAGCAATTAAACCCTTATAAAGTACAAACTGTCTCCTCAAGCAGCTCCCTGACCCCTCTATATCCAAAAGACTGACATTAGGCAGGCACCATCCTGGGACAAAGATAGCAGAAAAAGAAACTGGTACCATCCCTCGCTGTGCCACAGCTGCTAGAGGTGCACCCCAGACAAGCAGGGTCTGGAGCGGACCTCAGCACTCGTACAGCGAAGGGGCTAGACTGGTAGAAGGAAAACCAAGCAACAGAAATACTTCATCATCAACATTCAGGGTGTCCACTCAGAGACCCAATCGAAAAGTCAGCAACTACGCAGACGACCAGCGGACAAATCCGCAAAGATGGGAAGAAACCAGCGCAAAAAGGAGGAAAACACCCCCCGAAACCAGAACACCTCGCCTCCTAGAAAGGACCAAAACTCCTCACCAGCAAGGGAACAAAGCTGGACGGAGAATGACTGTGACGAAATGACGGAATTAGACTTCATAAGATGGATAATGAGAAACTTTGGTGAGCTAAAAGATCATGTATTAAATCAATGCAAAGAAACTAAGAACCTTGAGAAAAGATTTGAAAAAAGATTTGAGGAAATGATAACAAGAATGGATAACTTAGAGAGGAATATGAATGAATTAAAGGAGCTGAGAAACACAATACGAGAACTTCGCGAAGCATGCACAAGTTTCAATAGCCGAACTGACCAAGCAGAAGAAAGAATATCTGAAGTCGAAGACCAACTCAATGAAATAAAACGAGAAACCAAGATTAGAGAAAAAAGCGCAAAAAGGAATGAACAAAGTCTCCAAGAAATGTGGGACTATGTAAAAAGACCTAACCTACGTCTGATAGGTGTACCATAAGGGGACGAAGAGAATGAATCCAAGCTGGAAAATACTCCTCAGGACATCATCCAGGAAAATTTCCCCCACCTAGCAAGACAGGCCAACACTCAATTGCAGGAAATTCAGAGAACACCACAAAGATATTCCGCAAGAAGAGCAACCCCAAGGCACATAATCGTCAGATTCAATAGGGTTGAAATAAAGGAGAGAATACTAAGGGCAGCCAGAGAGAAAGGTCAGGTCACCCACAAAGGGAAGCCCATCAGACTCACAGCAGATCTCTCGGCAGAAACACTACAAGCCAGAAGAGAGTGGGGGCCAATATTCAACATTCTTAAAGAAAAGAACTTTCAACCCAGAATTTCATATCCAGCCAAACTGAGCTTCAGAAGTGAAGGAAAAATAAAATCCTTTGCGAACAAGCAAGTACTCAGAGATTTTGTCACCACCAGGCCTGCTTTACAAGAGCTCCTAAAAGAGGCACTACACATAGAAAGGATCAACCAGTACCAGCCATTCCAAAATCACACTGAATGCTAAAGAGCTTCAACATAATGAAGAATCTACAACAACTAACAGGCAAAACAGCCACTTAGCATCAAAATGGCAGTATCAAATTCACACATAACAATATTAACCCTAAATGTAAATGGACTAAATGCACCAATCAAAAGACACAGACTGGCAAATTGGATAAAAAGCCAAAACCCATCAGTGTGCTGTATCCAGGAAACCCATCTCACATGCAAGGATACACAAAGGCTCAAAATAAAGGGATGGAGGAAGATTTACCAAGCTAATGGAAAGCAAAAAAAAAGCAGGAGTTGCAATTCTCATCTCCGATAAAATAGACTTTAAAGCAACAAAGATCAAAAGAGACAAAGAAGGCCATTACATAATGGTAAAAGGATCGATACAACAAGAAGAGCTAACGATCCTAAACATATATGGACCCAATGCAGGAGCACCCAGATACATAAGGCAAGTTCTTAAGGACTTACAAAAGGACTTAGACTCTCACACAATAATAGTGGGAGACTTTAACACTCCACTGTCAATACTAGACAGATCTACCAGACAAAAAATCAACAAGGATATCCAGGGCTTGAACTCAGACCTGGAGCAAGCAAACCTGATAGACATTTACAGAACTCTCCACCCCAAATCCACAGAATACACATTCTTCTCAGCACCACATCACACCTACTCTAAAATTGACCACATAATTGGAAGTAAAGCACTGCTCAACAAATGCAAAACAACTGAAATCATAACAAACAGCCTCTCAGACCATAGTGCAATCAAGTTAGAACTCAGAATTCAGAAACCGACCCAGAACCGCACAGCTTCATGGAAACTGAACAACTGGCTCTTGAATGTTGACTGGGTAAACAACGAAATGAAGGCAGAAATAAAGAACTTCTTCGAAACCAATGAGAACGAAGACACAACGTGCCAGAACCTCTGGGACACATTTAAAGCAGTCTCTAGAGGAAAGTATATAGCAATAAGTGCCCATATGAGGAGAATGGAGAGATCCAAAATTGACACCCTATCGTCAAAATTGAAAGAGCTAGAGGACCAAGACCAAAAAAACTCAAAACCCAGCAGAAGACAAGAAATAACTAAGATCAGAGCTGAGCTGAAGGAGATTGAGACACGAAAAACCCTTCAAAAAATCAATAAATCCAAGAGCTGGTTTTTTGAAAAGATCAACAAAATAGACAGACCACTAGCCAGATTGATTAAAAATAAAAGAGAGAACAACCAAATAGATGCAATAAAAAATGATAAAGGGGAAATCACCACAGATTCCACAGAAATTCAAACCATCATCAGAGAATATTACAAACAACTCTATGCGCATAAACTAGTAAACCTGGAAGAAATGGACAAATTCCTGGATTCCTGTGTCCTCCCAAGCCTAAACCAGGAGGAAGCTGAAACTATGAATAGACCAATAACAAGGTCTGAAGTTGAGGCAGCAATTAAGAGCCTACCACACAAAAAAAGCCCAGGTCCAGACGGGTTCACAGCCGAATTCTACCAGACACACAAGGAAGAGCTGGCACCATTTCTTCTAAAACTATTTCAAACAATCCAAAAAGAGGGAATCCTTCCCAAATCATTTTATGAGACCAACATCATTCTGATACCAAAACCTGACAGAGACCCAACAAGAAAAGAAAACTTCAGGCCAATATCCATGATGAACATAGATGCAAAAATCTTCAATAAAATATTGGCAAGCCGATTGCAACAGCAAATCAAAAAACTTATTCATCATGATCAAGTAGGATTCATCCCAGGGATGCAAGGCTGGTTCAACATACGCAAGTCTATCAACGTAATTCACCACATAAACAGAACCAAAAACAAAAACCACATGATTATCTCAATTGATGCAGAGAAGGCATTTGACAAAATTCAACAGCCCTTTATGCTAAAAACCCTCAATAAACTCGGTATCGATGGAACGTATCTCAAAGTAATAAAAGCTATTTATGACAAACCAACAGCCAATATCATACTGAATGGGCAAAAACTGGAAGCATTCCCTTTGAAATCTGGCACTAGACAAGGATGCCCTCTTTCACCACTCCTATTCAATATAGTACTGGAAGTTCTAGCCAGAGCAATCAGGCAAGAAAAAGAAATAAAGGGTATTCAAATAGGAAAGGTGGAAGCCAAATTGTCTCTATTTGCAGACGACATGATAGTATACCTAGAAGACCCCATTGCCTCAGCCCAAAAACTCCTGAAACTGATAAGCAACTTCAGCAAAGTCTCAGGATATAAAATCAATGTGCAAAAATCACAAGCATTCGTCTACACCAATAACAGACTTAAAGAAAGCCAAATCAAGAGCGAACTGCCATTCGCAATTGCTACAAAAAGAATAAAATACCTTGGAATACAACTCACAAGGAACGTAAGAGACCTCTTCAAGGAGAACTACAAACCACTGCTCAACGAAATCAGAGAGGACACAAACAGATGGAGAAACATTCCATGTTCATGGTTAGGAAGAATTAAT